TTCTTTTTTCTTGGTGGTTTCAAGGCTCCTTTGGAAAATGCATCGCTGGAGTGGCTCTGATCCTTCCCTCCGTCTCCTGGCTGAAAACACTTCACTCTGAGAGATCCCAGAGACAGCCATTGTGCCCAAAGTGGCAGCTGGGAAAGATTAAGAAAAACCCTGCAGATAAAAGAAGCCAGGGCTGAGAGGTAATGAAGACAGTTGGGAGATTTAAAGGACATGGCCCCCAGCAGCTGAGGGGACAGCAGTCGCCAGGGAGAGGCTGCTGGTGAGATAAGCAGCTGTGTGCTAGCTGAGGAAAAGTGCCAACGGGGATAAGAAAAACAACTGCTGTAAGAGCGTGACGATCAAGACTCCTGATGCGGCTGGAATGCAGCTCAACGTGTGTGCTGGGAAAACCATGTGGGTCTACTCCACAGACTCCCTTAGTTCTTCCAATGGCTTTCCTTCTTCCTACATCACTCCATTTTAACTGCAACAGATGTGTTCTGAATGATCCACACCTTGACATGGCTTGGCTACTCTGTTCTGCATTGAAATCAAATGTTATTATTATTAACATTGGAGGTCTTCACTTAAAGCCTTCCCTATTTTATAGCCTTTGGCATAAACTCATATTCAGTTTGACCTGTATCCATTTTTATTTTTGTGTTGTTGTCCAGGTACATGTGTATGAATGCATGTGCATGTATGTGCCTGCATATGTGAAGGCCAAGAGGCAAGCTTGAATGTCATTCTTCAGGTATCATCCACCTGTTTTTTTTGAGACAGGGTCTTCTGTTGGTCTAGGGCTAGCCAGGCTGCTATCCATCAAGTCCCAGAGATGCTCCTGTCTGTAACGCTATGAGTACAAGCACAGGAGACTATGCCTCTGTAGACACTGAGGACTGAGCTCAGGCCCTTGTGGAGCAAGCACTTTAGAGGCTGAGCTGGCTCCCCAGCCTGACTTATATTTATTTTTATTTTACTTTTACTATAATCTACCACTTTACAGACACCTCTCATCATTAATCACAGCAATGGTCTATTTTCCCAAATTTGCAGCAGATTGAGGTCATCGTGACTGAATAGTTATTGAAATAAATAGTACTGTCAGGAAACAGACGTTGCCAAAGAAACTAAAGAAAAATATAATGTTCCACAGTTTTTATTAAGTTTTTTAATCATGTATAGAACATGCCTTGGGCTCCTCAAATTTAGTTTCAAACCCAGTACTGAAAGCTCATTTATCAAGCTCTCCATAGAATTTCTGACACAGTTCCTACGGACCCAAGAAAAGCTGGCCAAGACAATCCAGCATTAGCTGTCACTCACATCGGGGCTGTCATTCTTGGTGGCTCTACTGCCTTTAGTTGTGACTTGGGGCAAATCACATTAACCATTCTCTAAAACGAAGGTGACATGGGGGACCTGCTGTGCGGTTTAATACCCTTAGTGTATTCGGTGTCCGACACACATGAACACTCAGTATGTAGTAGCCCAAATCTAGATACTTCAAGTAAAAGGAAGGATCAGTGGTAACTCGACATCCCTTACAGCCAACATCTCCTCTACCATACACACGTGATGTAGATTGGTTGCAAAAGGATCAGAGAAAACCTCACAGCAGTGTCTAGGAGAGACAACTCACAGCTCCTCACACCCCCAGTTTTCCTCTGAGTCCTCCTGGGACTTCAGACCCTTCTTCTCCTTCACATTCACCCTCTCACACTTTCCCAATGAATGACATCATTCTGCTAGACACTGGACAAACGTTGTCAGTTGTGAGAAACAATGGAGCACATGGAGTGTTATAAATTATTATTGATGAAGATGTGATATTTACATTAAAAGTTTTTTTATTAAAAATATGCTCCCCAAATTAGAAACAGGAACCAAACGTACAATTAAAAGTCTACAAAATCAGTGTGCAGTTATGAATGAGGCCAATTCATTTGAGCAATGCTGAAGGCCTCTTACTAACTTGTGGAATCTTCTGTCTCTATCTCCTCCTACGTTTCAAATCCATGGAGGGAATTTCTCTCCATCTTGCCTGTGGTTGCTAAATTGGGGTAGGAGGTAGAAGTTCACTGGTAGTTCTGAGGAACCACACAAGAAGATTGTGGGGCTTCTTAGAAAGAGAGATGGGACCCAGCATATGAGCTGATGTGCACAGCATTGGTGTCAGCCGCCCTGTATTAACTCTTCCCTCATCATTGTGACAGACACCAGAGAAAAACAATTTAGAAGGAAGAGAGATTTGTTTAGTCTCCTAGCTCCGGGTATATCGGTCCATGGTTGGGTTCCATTGCTCAGGGCCACAGACAGGGCAGAGCATCGGGGTGTTGGGGACATGTGATAGAGGAGATTGCTGACCTCATAGCAACCAGGAAGCTGAGAGAGAGATACAGGAAATGATTAGGGCAAGGGAAAGATTTGCCGTGATCTGAAGAGCATGCCCACAGAGGCCCACGCCCTTTGACTAGGCACTATCCCGTATAGTTTTACTACTTCCCAATTGCCCATTAATTGTGAAACAATCAGTGGGTTAGTGCACTGACTGATCTAGTCAGAGTTCTCATGAGGCATCACTTCCTCAAAGCCCATCAGCTGGCCACCAAGCACATGGCCTTTGGGGAAAAGGGTAGATCTAAACCGCGGTACACACCATATTGAAATCTGGGTTCTGAGCCATCTTGACATGATAATCTTGGGAAGGCTGCTCACTGCTGATTTTGAACTCTTCTTAGACTGAGCAATGGGACAGGTTTAGTTTCCAGTTGTTATTGTGAGAACGAAACACAAGAACCCCAGATATAGTGGATGGGTAGCAAGTGCAGGCCCATTCCCCATAAAGTTTCCATGATTTCTCCACGGCCCTGTCAACCGTAGGACACTATTGAGACAGAGACACAGAGTGTACAAACACAGATACTAGTAGCCTGAGTCTCTTAGCCACAAATGGCTTATTTTAATTTTGCATGCTTGTGTGTTCTCAATGCACTTGTGTGTGTGTGTGTGTGTATGTGTGTGTGTCTGTGTGTGTGTGTGTGTGTCTGTGTGTGTGTGTGTGCAGGTACACATTTGTATGCCATAACTGGCTGTTTCTAAAAGCTTTAGATTAAAATAAATTATTTATTTATTTTCTAACTGTCTAAACCTTTGCAAACATAGCTCAAGAGCTCAGTTAACTAAATATAGGGTTATCATCTGATCCAGAAATCCTACTTTTGGGTATACAGCCAAAGGAAGTGAAGGCAGTATTTTGAAGAGACATTTGCATACCGTGTTTATTGGAGTACGATCCGTACTAGCAAAGATCTGTAATCTATCTAGGTGTCATCAGCAAATGAACAGACAAAATGTGGTGTACATACAGAGAGGAATACGAGTCAGCCTTTAGGAAGGAGTCCTGTCCTTTTTGACAGCCCAATGACTGTAGAAGACATGCCTGAACTCAAAAACCAGACAGAGATAGGGACATATCTCCTGATCTCACTCACAGGTGGAGTCTAAAATAGCCCAGTTCATATAAAGAGTGCAATGATGTCAGTCAGAGGATGTGCATATGTGTGCACGCATGCATCTTAGACAATGGTGACAGAGGATGTGCATATGTGTGCATGCATGCACCTTAGTCAATGGTGGCAGTCAGAGGATGTGCATATGTGTGCATGCATGCACCTTAGTCAATGGTGACAGTCAGAGGATGTGCATATGTGTGCATGCATGTACCTTAGACAATGGTGACAGTCAGAGGATGTGCATATGTGTGCATGCATGCACCTTAGTCAATGGCGACAGTCAGAGGATGTGCATATGTGTGCACGCATGCACCTTAGACAATGGCGACAGTCAGAGGATGTGCATATGTGTGCATGCATGCACCTTAGACAACAAAAGGAGAAGTGCAGGTCCAGGAGCACTAAATCTTAGGCAGGAAGAAGTCCAGGAAATCTATTGCAGAATTCATAACTTGTTTTCTTCTCTCAGCCTCTTTTTGTCTGAGAAAACTTTACCTAACCTTAGGTAAATAGGTGTGCAAAGTTGGTACACAGCTCACACATTTACTGACAGGAAATCACAAAGAGGTTTGTTATGAAACAATTCTTTGGTATATTTGTGTATGCATGTATGTGTCTACCATTTATGAAAAATGAAAGCAAAATTTGTCCACTAATGAGATGGGTGTTTGTTTAATTTTATATAACAATTGAATCTTGTTGAATGTTCTGTGCTACAGGACTCAGAACATCTTTAATGCTTCCTGGAGTTGATTGATATGATTGTCCATGCTGAGAACTTTGCTTCTGATAAATACATAACACACAATGGTAGAAGTGTATTTGAAGTTATTCCAGAAATTGTTGGAAATCCTGTCTTAACCTCAGGTCAAAACTTAAATTGTAATGAAATTTAAGTCAGCAATTCAAACAGTGTGTGTGTGTGTGTGTGTGTGTGTGTGTGTGTGTGTGTGTGTGTGTGTGTGTGTTCATGCATGTCTGTGGATGCAGGCTCATGTTTACCACCATGCTTGTGTGGAAGTCAGAGGAAAACCTTGGGTGTTGGACATTACTAGTTTGAAGACAGGGCCTCTTTGTTGGCAAGTGGCATTTTCTTTCCTCTCTTCTCTCTTTTTCTTTTCTTTTCTTAACAGAGTCTCTCTATGTAACTCTGACTGGCCTAGAACTCACTATGTAGACCAGTCTGCCTCAGAATCACAGAGATTCTCCTGACTCTGCCTCCTGAGTTCTGAGATCTACACGAGCAAACTGGACATGAAGGGGTTAATGGAGGGCAAGGGGGCAGGGGAGAGCTTAGGGAGTGGGAGAGCTGGATCAAGAGCAGAGAGGGAGAACAAGGAAAGAGATACCATGATAAATGAAGACCTCCTGGGAATAGGAAGAAGCAAAGTGCTAGAGAGGTCTCCAGAAATCCACAAAGATACCTCCACAATAGACTACTGGCAATGCTCGAGAGAAAGCCCGAACTGACCTACTCTGGTGATCAGATGGCCAAACACCCTAAATGTCATTATAGAACCCTCATCTAATGACTGATAGAAGCAGATGCAGAGATCCACGGCCAGGCCCCAGGTGGAGCTCCGGGAGTCCAATCGGTGTGTGAGAGAGGAGGGATTGTATGAGCAAAAGCTATCAAGACCATGATTGGAAAAAGCACAGGGACAAATAGCCAAACTAGCGGAAACACATGAACTATGAACCAATAGCTAAGGATCCCTCATGGAACTGGATCAGGCCCTCTGGATAAGTGAGACAGTTGATTAGCTTGAACTGTTTGGAAGGCCCCCAGGCAGTGGGACCAGGACCTGTCCTTAGTACATGAGCTGGCTTTTTGGAGCCTGGGGCCTATGCTGGGACACTTTGCTCAGCCTAGGTGAAGGGAGGAGGGGACTGGACCTGCCTCGACTGAATCTACCAGACTGAGCTGAATCCCTAGGGGAATCCTTGCCCTGGAGGAGGTCGGAATGGGGGGTAGGCTGGGGGGGGGGGCGCAGGAGGAGGGAGGACAGGGGAATCCATGGCTGATATATAAAATTAAATTAATTATAAAATTAAAAAAATAAAAATAAAAAACAACAAATATCAGTGAGAATGTTAAAAAAAAAAAGGTATGCATCACCATGTCCTGCTTTCAAATAGAAAATTTTAAGATCAAACATTCAAGCCCAATACAATCCAAAAATGTACTAATTTGATACTTACGTGTAAGAAATGGGAATAGGAAAACATTGACCGGCTTTGCTTCCCACAAGCATGCCATTATGTTCCTATAAAAGCAAAAAGCTTTGCACATGTAGTAAAAACATTGACGTTCGTGTCACAGACAGTGTGCAGCTGAGGGATTTCAGCAATGTCTGCTGGTGGTGTGTGCATAGCACGGGCAGGGAGAAGCAAACAAACCTAGACCAGGTGGTACCAAGGAGGAGCTCGGCCAGAGACACCCCGGGTTCGTTATGCATTTGAGTTTGAATTAAGTTTTCAGAGTTTGGTGTTTAGAAGTCTTTTACTTTGACAACTTTTTGTAAACTTTACATGAAGTAAGCTAGATGTGGCGGCTAAAATTGTACTCCCAGTGCTGAGGAGGTGGACTCAGGAGAATGGCTGGGTCTAGCTAGCCAGCCAGTCCGGTTTACTTGGTGAGTTCCTGGCCAATGAGAGATTCTGCCATTTTTTTTTATACCAAGCACTCTGTATTTCTTCTTCTGGAGCTGCCAGTTCATCGTTTCAGAAAGCTCAGTGACATAAAATTTTTCAAAATGAGGGCTCATGATTTTTGTGGCTTCTCCATCTCCAGCACCTAAGTCAAGAAGTCTATGAGTTTTCCAGTCCGGATTAATTTTCAGCAGTCTCTGAAACTGATCTGGTGAAAACACAAACGTGGAACCTCTTCCTAGCAACCCGTTGAGAGACGTTCTAGACATAAACAGGCTAAAAACAGAAGATACAAAGAATGATAGAGTCGGATAAATAACCAGCCAGATTTCTCAGTGCTGTTGTTTAGGAAGATCTGTGTTCCTTGACCAAGATAACTCTGAACAAAGACAGACTGAAGTGATTCACATAACTTCTCTCTGTTGCAAACGTACCATGTTTTCCACATAGGGATGAAAGGGCAAAACCAAGGAAAGGATGACCCTGCCTTGGGTGGGCTCCAAGACACTCCTGATATCTTTTAACAATGTCAGGGGCTGATCACAATGATCCAGCAAATTTAAGCAGCTGATGACATCATGCTGTTACCCTGTATTCCTCTGTTGCCCCTAAGGCAACACCTGTTGTCCTCTGGCTTCTGCACAGGCATGCACACACATTTGTTCCCACACACCATGCCCAAAATAACAAAGAAAAAATAAATAACAAATTTAAAATAGCAGCTTTCCTCCAAAATGTCTTTAATTAAGGCTCAGAAGGAAACTTGTGTCTAGATGCTATGCTGTAACGATGCCATTGGCTGCTTTCAGGTTAAGGATCTTGCCCCTTGAGGAATGACCAGTTCTCTTCCCTACACAACATCCCAGGGGCATCCTTCAACTCACATTGTCCAACCCACATAACTCACACGTCATGTCAGCCCCTTCACTGATTTTTAGGAGATGCCTCTAACCCTAGTTACCTCCTCTTTCTTATTTTACTTTATCTTTAAAGACTGGGTCTCATGTATCCCAGACAGGCCTGGAACTTGCTATTTAATCAAGGATGACCTTGAATTTCAGACCCTACTTCTTCTATGCCAGCTCACTGTCATTCCTGGCTTATTCAGTGCTGAGAATTAAACCCAGGGCCTCACACACTCCAGGATAGCTCTCTACCCACCGAGAGTCCCCAGTCCCCATTATTTTCTTTCTATCCTTTCCTCTAATTTCAAAGCACAGGTAAATTAGGGCTGGAGCAATGGCTCAGCAGCTTAGAGCACTGGTTACTCTTGTAGAGACCTGGGTTTGATTCCCAGCACCTACGTGGTATCTCACTACCATCAGTAACTCCTGTTCCAGGGGCATCTGACAACCTCTTCCGACTTTCCTGGGCACCAGGCATGAATGTTGTGCATATACATCCATGCAGGCAAACATTCATATTGTTGCTGGAGGGCTTCTCTCCAGGTTCCACCAAGCCCCGTAGTCCCACAATCCATGTATAAAATAATCACTCAGACACTTA